CCACGTGAGGCCCGGAAGTGAGCGTGCGCGCCCGCTTGACTTGCAAACGTTCCTGACAGCCGGGCTTTTCTAAAGCAAGGGGCAACGGGTTTGCAAACTGCCTCTGGGAGGTTTGGTAAGAGGCAAGGCTTGTCTGCTCCGTAGGGCGGCACACGGGTGCCCCAGGTAGACACACGGACCCAGAGGTGAACAGGGACGGGGAGGTGACGTCACACAGAGGAGGGAAAAGTGTAGGACGTGTGGCGAGCCAGGCAGCACCCACTGGGTCTTCCAGGGGATCCTGAGGGACTGAGCTGCTTCCCAGGCTTCTGGGCACTTAGGTGTGGCCGCGTGATTGAGCCCCGACCCCCGGCGGGCGGGTGCAGTGGGCGTGCACTCCTCCTAAGCCTGGCCCACAGAAGCTTCTCCTGAATCCCTTCTGCATCCCCAGCTGAAGGGAGAGGACTGCGTAGACGTGAAGGAGGGTGGAGAAGGACCCGCTGGGGGACGACTCGCCAGCCACTGAGACTGGGGGCTGCCTGGCGGCAGCCGCTCGAGCCCCCTACCCCTCCCAGTACGGAAGAGAAGGGGCAGGTGGAAGTAGGGCCTCTTCCTTCATACAGAAGATTCTAGAAGGACACCTCAACCCCGTGGAGTCTAGGCGCCAACTTCTGGGGCACGGGACAGGGACGTGACCCCAGCCTGGTGGACACACGCGGGGAAGGAAGGGCAGAAGAGGGAGAGAGACCAGAGCCAGGGCACCCGGAGTGAAGCCACTTGATGTGGGGTTTTAAAAGCCACATTTTTTATTTATTTTATTTATTCGTTTATTTTTTAGTGTTTATTTTTTGAGAGAGAGAAAGAGAGAGTGTGAGCAGGGGAGGGGCAGAGAAAGAGAGGGAGGCAGAGGATCCAAACAGGGCTCTGCGCTGACAGCAGAGAGCCCGATGCGGGGCTCGAACTCATGAACGGCGAGATCGTGATTTGAGCCAAAGTCGGATGCTTAACCAGCTGAGCCACCCAGGCGCCCCCAAAATTCCACATCTTTAACAAGTTTACTTATTTATTTTGAGAGAGAGAGAAGGAAAAAATGTGAGCAGGGAAGGGGCAGAGAGAGCGGGAGAGAGAATCCCAAGCAGGCTCTGAGCTGTCAGCACGGAGCCCGACGTGGGGCTCGAACTCACAAACTGTGAGATCATGACCTGAGTCAAAATTGAGAGTTGGACGTTTAACCAACTGAGCCACCCAGGCGCCCCCTCCACATCTTAAAAATGAAAGGATAAAAAAAGGAGAGAGAGAGAGAGGTTTGATTGGAACTTCATCTTGAAAAATAAAGTGGTAAAAAATATATATATATATATATTTTTTAAAAAGCTTTCTTCCTTTCTTCTTAATTTCACCAAGTGTGGTAACTCCACTTTAACTCTTGGAACAAATGACAAGGAATGAGTTTTTTCTTTTACTTTCCATATTTTCTCCCCACTAAATTTTCTATGGGGATGATTGACAGCCTTCCCTTCAATTTGAGTTGTTTGCAGTTCTGTGATTCAGAGATGATTTTTTTTTTTTTTGGTAAAAAGTTCAAGGGTTTCCTCACTGTTTCCATGGGCTTCTCTTAATCCTTTTTTTTTTTAAACAATTTTAAATTTTCATTTTTGAGAGACCGAGAGAGACAGCAACAAGCAGGGGAGGGGCAGAGAGAGGGAGACACAGAATCCGAAGCAGGTCCAGGCTCCCAGCTGTCAGCACAGAGCCCGACGCGGGGCTCGAATTCACGAACCGCGAGATCGTGACCTGAGCCAAAGTTGGACGCTTAGCTGACGGAGCCACCCAGGTGCCCCTTCTCTTAATCTTTTTAAATTCAAGTCATTGTCTTACTAGATTTAGTGTTGCTGGCTGAAGTTGAGACCAGCCAACGTCCCTCGAGTGACCGCTGGAGACGGGATGCTATGTCGCCACCTTCACACAACAGATGGGTTCGGAAATGTATCTCTTTCTTCCCTCTGGGGCACACCGACCAAGCCCTCTGCAACTGCCTCGTCCCACCAGAGCGACTTGAAGAGGGGGCACCTAGCGAGGGGGAGGCTTTCCGTGGAGCCCAAGTGGCCACCCTGCCTTTGGAGGCAATTGGCCGACACGAGCCGAGGTTGGTGTAGCGAACCCCGGTTCTTCTGGGAGGTTCCCAGGCTGCTATTTACCCTGATTCCTGGCCACACACCCGTATTTCCTACCACTGTTTTTCTAGCCTGCTTAGCTCTTCAGGGGGAAAATATCACAGCGGGTAGGAAGTTTTTGCTCAAAAGCCAAACAAAGAGAAGAAAAACAAAGGGAAAGAAGGTTAAAAATAAAAAAAGCCTTTTAAGCAAATAATTTCCTGGGGCTCCTTAATGTGCAAGAAACCTGATAGCTACAAAAATAATCCAAGCTAAAGAAAATGCCCCGGTTCCAGATTTACTTTCTGCCCCCTTTGCTGGCGTTTGCCCACGGTAGGGGCTCCTGGCACCTGTCAGTGACGAGGGCCGGGTGAAGACTGAGTAGAAGCCAGCTGGTCAGAATGCTGGACATCTGGAAGCTTCTTAGAATCTCTCCTCTTGCCTGGGCTCCGGAAGCGGATTTTCTGCCGGCGTTCTTGGTGCCTTGGCTTCTAATCAAAGAGGAAGTGGAGGGTGAGGGAGTGTTGGACTTGGAACCGCCAGCTGGATTTTTCTCACCGTTTAGGGCTTTGCTCAGATGTCACCTCCTCAGGATGACCATCCTTCCCTCCCCAGCCTCTGCTTCACAGAACGTACTGCCACCTACAATTTGGGGTTCAGCTTTTATGTGTCTCCCACAGTAGCAGGCAACGCCACAGAGGAATGGACTTGACTTACCTTATCCCCAAGCCGTCCCCAGCACCTGGAAGAGTGTTGGGCACACAGTAGGTACCCAGTAAATGTTGAATTAAATGGAATCCTTAACTTAAAAATATTTAAAAAGAAATGATGGAAAACGTTGCATTCCAGAAGGATTGGACCCTACCTCCTGGGACTTTCTTTCCAAAAAAAGGTTATATATATATATGTATATATATATACATATCATATATATGTGTGTGTGTGTGTGTGTGTGTGTGTGTGTATACTTTTTTTCTATCAGTAATTCAATGAAAGCAACTCTTTGCAAAGCACGGCATGGAATAGCCGTGAAGAATACAATGAGGTAATCGTGTAGATTGCTTAACAAAATGTCTGGTACGTTGCGAGTGCTTAACCAGGGTTGGCGCGTATTAACAACTACTCACACTGAGTCCATGGCCAACGAAGTCCTGTCCTTTCTGCACATGCTGTCATAGCTCCCCTTTCTGGGCCTTCTGGTTTTTTGAAATGTGGTTTGTTCTCTCCTATGATTCATCTTGTTGCTCTCGGCCAAAAATAGCTCACCATTCATCAGCCTATTTTTCCCAGCTTTGGATCCGCGTGTAATGGAATCAGCACACCTTTGAAGGCCTTGTGGGAAATCATTGACGAAAGTGTGGAGCTGAATGGAACAAAGGCAGAGTCCCGTGGCATACCGCTGGCAACCTTTCTGCGGGTTGGCATCAGCCATATCAAATCAGACCTCCTAGGCTCATCAGTCTGATGGTTACGAAACAATTTAATCATGCTCTCACCGAGCTCACTGTTCGCCATCTTGCCTAGGAGAAGTGACTTTGCAATACCTTGCTGAAATGCAGGTGCACTTATAGCCACAGAATTCCTCGGATGTATCACTCGAGCGACCCAGAGTAACCTAGCAAATAACTCAAACACCTTTGTCAGATAGGACTTGTCCTAAGTGAACCCATGTTGGCTTCCAGAGCTCACTCATTTATTTTATAAGTTCAGAAACGGTGCTGTTAGTTCCGATATCAGTCAGTTTAAGCTAAGCTCTGCTTCAGGACCATTTACCTGCAGATTTCAGTGGCTTACAAGGAGGTTTATCGCTCACACTACGTGTCCGTCAGAGGCTGCAGTCTTCATTCTGAGCAACCAGGCTTGTGCTGCACGGGAAAGAAAAGTGGAGGACTTTGCAGTGGTTTTCACCCAGGGGCAAACTCTGTTTCCTGTGCTTATACTCTATTGGCTGAAATAAGTCACATGGCCAAGCTGCGGTCAAAGGCATAGGGGGTATAGGGTGAGGCGCCATAGGGATGGGCAGGGCTATCTCGAACAATAATACCACCCGTGACTCTGTCAAGAGCGGAATCCACCTCCTGCCTCCGTAGAAAATCGGGTTTTCCCCACTACTTCACTTTCTGGAATTACCAAACGCACGACAGTTGAGCCATGTGATACATCAACATTCTGAGAACCCCACGGCATGATGTGGATATTTATGTGAGACTCTGACCTGCTGGGACATTCACGGCGGATGAATCGTGCTCCATTTTTCCACCCAGTGGCTAGACCGGAGACCTCAGGCTCCCCCCTTGGCTGCCTCCCTCAACTGACCCCCAGATCCCGTAGACTTTCTCTGAAACATCTCAAAGTTTTATCCCGTTGTCCCCAGCACCGTGGCAATGCCTGAGCTTAAAGTCAAATCACCCCTTCTCTGGACTCATGAAATCACTTCTTAATGGACTTTGTCTCCCCTCCTGCTGACCCCAGCCATCTCCAGCTGGTTGAGGGATCTTTTGAAATTTAAGGACAGCCTTAATTTTCCTCTTCTCCTCTTTAATTGATTAGTTAATTAATTAATTTATATTTGAGAGAGAGCACTCACAAGCAGGGGAGAGGAGCAGAGGGGGAGAGAGAGAATCTGAAGCAGGCTCCATGCCCAGCGGGGAACTCGATCCCATGACCTGAGGATCATGACCTGAGCCCAAATCAAGAGTCAGACACTCAACCGACTGAGCCCCCCAGGCTCCCAGAGCTGGGGAACCACTAAGACCTGCTCTCTGGTTCTCTTCCCCAAGAGATGGGAACTTGTTCGGTCTCCTCCTGGGCTGAAGACTGGGGAAGCCCCAGCACCCCATTCCCTTTGGCTGAAGAGGGACACGCTCTTGGCCAGCCGACAGCAACGTTCCCAAAGGGCAGAACCCCGGGAGGACTCCGGGCAGGCAGGCAGGCTCGGGCTCGGGACCCACGCCGGTTTTTCTAGAACCTTCTCAGCCCCTGTGCCTGCTCCAGCTGCCGCCGCAGTGATCAGCACTGCAGGGGCCTCGCCCAGTGGCGCGCGGGTGCGGGGGACCCGTGCAAGAAACCTTCTGGCCCTCGTGCACGTGAACCCCAGGACTGTGGGTGAGTTAGCATCACGGGGCCACCAGTGGGGTCAGCTGTTGACGGAAATGCTTGCCCGTCCCATGTTCCTGGGGGACCGTTCTGAGGTTGCATTTCACGACTTGTCAGAAGGACCTGTAGGATGGCCCGTCAGTTCACAAGGACCCTCACTGGTGCCCCTTTGCCTCTGCTTCCGCTCCCCCTCCCCCACACTCCTGGTCTCCGAGACCACATTCCCAGACTCCCTGCACGCAAGACTCGGTCTCAAGCTCTGCATTAGGGCTGAACCCAGGCTGAGAGAGGATGATCCCCAGTCTATCCCCGCCTCTTACACACAAATGCACACACACACACACACACACACACACACACACACACACTGTTGTGTTCCCACCGTCCTCCCGGATACAAACCAAACCCCATCGACAAGGAAAGGATTTCCCACGTGACAGCCACGAAGACCCAAATGAAGCGGAACCAGGCCCCCAGGGGCAGAGTCGGACGTGCTATGGGCTGCTTGCGACCCTAACAACATCTGAGGTGATGGGTGCGCAATCAGCTGGGACATGGAGTTTTCTGGAGCCGGGGAGGAGGGCTGAAGTCTGGCGGACGAGCCGTAGACGTGCGCCCTAAATTACGATATTTTCCTTCTCACTGCGGAATGAATGCAGCCTCAGACAGATGCTGCCCGCAGCTGTTTGAGGCGGGGGGCCCCGTGGCAGGCCAGCGACTTTGAAACACGGATTGGAATGGAATCTGACAAAGGGGCCACTGTCTTTGAGGGAACTTGACATGAGCCCGGCAGAGCCCGAGTGGCGGGAGTTTGCACAGCGGCAGCCCGGAGCAAACATGTACTTTTAGCTGACCCGGGCCCGTGGCTTGGGCATTAAACCTGACACTTTCCAGATGCACGGCGCCCTCCCGTCAGCACCAGCCAGAGCACTCTGTCCCCAGGTACACACGCGCGCGTGCACACACACACACACACACACACACTCACGACACAGTTCTGTAAATGCCGCATTGTGCCAGAGACCCCAGGCCTCTGCTGCGAGCTCCACACCCAGACCTGAAGGCGTGTCCCCCATATGCCGAGCTGCAGGCCTAGGAGCTGGATTTCGAAATTGTTCAAGTTCAAAGTCGGCTCAACAGCAGCTGCCATTCCGACCACCACCATTCTTCACGCCTGGCTCCAGGTCGAGTGGTGAGGGGATGCTGAGCATGCCTTCTAGAAGGTTCTTTCCAACCCGTGACAGGTTGGACCCTGAGATCTCCAGTACCAGTGAAAGGGAGGTGTAGCAGGAGTTTGGGGGTGCAGGGCGGTATCCCCACATGGCATTCTCTCCCAGTCCCCGTTTGGACTTGAGCAAAGCCCATGTGGCCCCCAGCGTGTGGGCAAGGGCAGGCCACACGTGACCCCGCCTGCCCTGGGAGCTCGGCATCGGGGAAGGGGCTATAAAGCCCTGCTGTGGCACGGGCCTCGTCCGGAAATTACTCCGCTCAGCAGCCCTGACTGCTCGATGGGGGACATCAGTGCACTGGAGCTCTGTGGGCAGGGACACTCGGACGCTCTCTTGGGCAGGGGGCGGCTTATCTTGGCTGGGTGACTGCCCCAGGCACGACCCCACCTTGGGGGCTCTGAGCTCACACGGGCAGGAGAGGCCAGACAGGGACCCCCCCGTCCAGGAAGGTGTGGCCTCCCCGTTGGGCTAAGTCCAAGGGAGGTCACCTTCCTCACCCGGCTGGCTCACTCGTGGGTCACGGAAGGTAAGACGGGCGGGGGAGGGGGACGAGTCGCAGGGAGCCCTTCCCGAGTCAACAGCGCTGACTCACAGGGTGTGTTTCCTGCCGGGACAAACCTGAGGACGTTGGTGACACTCGCCACTCAGGGGAGCGGGAAAGGAGGCCCGGAGACTCAGAGGTCCCGGCACTCACACCGGGGCGACCCCAGGAAGCAGTGGGCACACTTTGGTTCCTTCATTTACTGAGACCTTGATTCATGTGCGTTCTTTAGTGGGTTCCGAGCGGAGGAGAAACCGTTACTTATCTTCCTCGTTTGTACTGGGGAACAATTCTCTCGCGTGTGGTGCCTCCCATCTCACGTGTCCGGCCTGGCGCATTTTGCGCGTGCAAACGCCTGTGTGACCAGAGTCAGGATGCACAGCAGGTCCGTCACCCAGAGGGCCAGTCAGGGACCCAGAGAGGACCACCGTGCTTTTAGCATCACCGATGACTTTTGTCTAAAGACAGATTAAGGTGGATCTTTTTTGCCTAAAGACGAAACAACTTAGTACAATGTAAATGGCACCCTAGAGAACACGTGGTCTTTTAGCTTTTTTCTTTTTCTTATTACAAAAATGTTTTTAATGTTTATTTATTGTTGAGAGACAGAGAGAGACAGAGCACAAGTGGGGGAGGGGCAGGGAGAGGGAGACACAGAATCTGAAACAGGCTCCAGGCTCTGAGCTGTCAGCACAGAGCCCGACGTGGGGCTCGAACTCACGGACCGCAAGATCGTGACCCGGGCCGAAGCCGGACGCTCAACCGACTGAGCCACCCAGGCGCCCCTGTAATAGCTTCTTTCTCTCAGAATAATATTCTTGAGATTTCCCCGTACTGTTGGGGGTATTCATGGTTTGTTCCTTCTGCTTCCCGTAGAATAATATTCTCTCGGAGGAATTGTCAACCATCATTTGTGAATTTGCTCGTCCATTTGCCAGGGACCGAATGTTTGTGTCCCCTCAGAATTCATAGGTTGAAATCCGACCCCCTAACGTGATGATGGTATGAGGAGGTGGGGGCCTTCGGAAGGCAATTAGGTCTCGAGGGGGGAACCCCCTCGTGGTGGATTAGCTCCCTCACCCCTCTGCCTCACAAGAAGAGCAAAGACGGCCGTTTATGGGCCACTGGCTCCTCCAGGCAGTATCGGGACAGCAGAGCTAAAGAGTGGGGGTCAGGTGTTGATTCCTTCCACTGGGTCCCCCAGGGCCCCCAGAGTTTGGTGACAGCATCTGACGGCCCCTTGCATTCACCCCCACCCCCAGCAGGGCCGGGTGGTCCCGAGTCAGGATGAGACATGGGTCCCCCACAGCATGGGGACAAATGACCTAGTCCACACAGGGAGCTGGGACGTCTTGGCCAAAGTCGGGAATCGCCCCCCCCTCCCCCCACAATACCCCTGGAGCTTCCTGGATCTCAAACCTGACCGAATTACGGAACGGGGAGGGGAAACCACCAAGTGCCCAAGAACGTGCCGTTCTGAACAAATTGACCCTAAATCGGCTGAGATGACATCTGCCCAGAGGCAGATGGGGGCGGGGCTGGACTGTCGAACTTGAGCTACAGAAAAATAAATTTATTCCGGGAGGCAGGGTGCGAACTGTAAGTTCTCACCTGCTTCGGCTAATGTAGACGTGCTGAGCAGATCGGGAGCTCAGCGGCGACTGGGGGCGGGCAGGGTGGTGGTGGTGCAGATGGCCCGGTTTCTTTGCCCTGGCCCCAGATCCAAGGCCTCTGCTTTGGACTGCCCTGGGGTGGCCCACATGCCTGGCTTTGGCCGGTGGAAAGGCGGCCGTTGGGACAGCTCAGGGGGACGCCTGGGCTAGGCCTCAAGGGGCCTGCAGGCGTCTGCCCGCTGGCCTGGGTCCCTGCCATCACCGTGAAAACATGCCCCGCTGGCCCCCGCCACCCCCACCGCGGTCAGCCCAGACCGGCCGACGGCCAGCTGTCCTCTAGACAAACGCCACGCAAGCTGAGCCACGCAAGCTGAGCCCCTCAAAGACGCGTCGTAGCTGGTGGCTACGTGGCATTATGGTGGCAACAGACAGCTGATGCAGTGGGAACGCTTCCTGTAGGATGGGGCTCCCCTGACGTCAGTTTGGAGCGTGACTTGGCCCAAGAAATTCACGAGCAGATGTTCCGAATGTTGAAATGGTTCGCCCCTACGCAACTTTGGTGTTCCTCTTACTCCAAGCCCATGGTGCGGACTCAAACAGTCTTCAGTCAAGGGTCCGCCCCGCCTACCAAAGTAAACAGAAGACCACCGTTGCGTTCCCAGAAGCACAAGTCATGCTGCGATTTTCGGAGCCAAGCTTCCTGCTTACTCAATGCTCCCGGCGGGGCCACCACCGGTGTCCCCAGAGCGAGACCGCAGGCGCCAGGGGCCTCGCCAGCCCTGAGGACCCGCCGGTGGATGAGCCCGCACGGCCGTGAGGTCCGGTACAGCCCCCGCTTCCCGCTGTCCGCGCCCTCCGTGGCATTAGCAGGGGGAAGCAGGGTTGACGAGAGACAGGCTCATGGAGACGACGTCACGTCTCCCCATCCAGCCTCCCCTCTGAGCCAGATCTCGGAGGATCCGAAACGTTACAGTCATAATGTTTGTGCACTCACGCTCACCGCGGGACAGGCACCATTTTCAGCCGTAAGCTGCTCTGTGGGGTCGGTGCTGGTAGCTCCCCACTCACGGTGGGGGGAGGGGGTGTGAAATTAAACGCATCGAGGGTCCTTCCGTTAGTAAACGGCAGAGCCAGCAGGCACACAGAGTTGTTCTGGAGGCATGTGTCTATACCACCCGTCTTCCCCAAACACTGCCCCCAGCCCAGTCTCTGGAGCCTCTGGGAGCTGAATCTGGACCCTCACATTCCGGATGCACTCGATGATGGGCTCGCTCGTTTCGGAGCCGTCCTCGTCTCAGCGGCTCAGGCTGCTGTAACAGAATACGGTCCCTCGGGCGGCTCAGATGACCAGCACTTACTTGTCCCCGTGCGGAGGCTGCATGCCTGAGGTCGGGGAGGTCCAGGGTGCCCCTGGGGTCGGGTCTGTCTCGTGTGTCTTCTTACAAGGGCATGAATCTCAACACAAGGGGTCCACCCTCGTGACCCAATCACCTCCCAAGGGCCCCACCTCCTGGTGCCATCATACTGGGGGCTGGGGTTTCTGCCTGTGAATTCTGGGGAGACATAGGCATTCAGCCCATAGCAGTCATGGTGGAAAGGGATGTCTGGGGCCTTCACGAGAACCATCCGGAAGGTTATTTATTTAGTTGAGGGGGGAGTTAACCGTTTCATTGCCACCAGGGGAGGAGGTGAATGTCCTTAGGAGTCAAGGCGGCATTCCTGGGCCACCCCCTCCACCCCCCACCCACCCCTGTCAGCCTAGGACCGTGCAGGGAGGATTCCGGGCTGGGAAGGCAGAAGTTTGAGTCCTGGAGCTCTGTCTGCTCTCTTCCATGGTGAGCCCCGGTGTGGGCTGGATCCCTGTCCTCCCCACAGGAGACCTTGTCCCCAAGGCCCTGGGGAACCACTATCCCAGCTCCCGGCTCCTCTGGGCCTTCTTTCCATCTGGGCTTCCGGAAAAGAGGACCATTCTGCCCCTGGCCAACAGCCCCAGCACACGTACCTCCCGTCTGGCCACCCCCAGAGCTCCGAACCCCCGTTTGTGGGAAAAGAGAGATCTTTGGAGCCCTGAAAAGACACTCTCTGAGCCCTGCTTGAGGACAGGAACCCCCCAGCGGGTGGGCTTGGTGTCTTCTGGGAAAGGTGGCTCTCAGACGCAGAGAATCCAGGCTGGCTGGCCCCACTCGCCCTCGGCCATGGCAAAGACTCTGACCGGGGGTGCACCCGTGACCGTGAGCTTTTGCGGCTGGGGCATCCTGCGAACGCAGTCCAGTTAAACACTGAAGTCCTTTGAAATGAACTTTCGTGAGTTAATAACCCATTCACGCCATGTGCAAATTCACATTCACACACACACACACACACACACACGCACACACGGGGCAAATAACTGGCAGACAAGGGCCCTGCGATGGGTTGCGTTGTGTCCCGGTCCCCCCAAACGATATGTGCAACCCCTGACCCCAGGGACCTGTGAACGTGACCTTACTTGGAAACTGTCTTCGCAGATTCGATCAGCTTAAGATGGGGTCCTGCTGGAGTCGGGTGGGCCTAACCCTGATGGTGGGTGTCCTTACCAGACGCAGACACACGGGGTGGAGGCCATGTGAAGACACAGGCAGAGACGGGACAGATGTGTCCACGAGCCAAGGACGGCTGGCCACCGCCAGCGGCTGGGAGACAGAGCCGGGGCGGTCTCTTCCTAGCGCCTTGCCAACGCCTTGATTTCAGACTTCAGCCTTCCTGTTGTTTTAAGCCATCTTGTTAGGGTAGCTCGATACGCTGGCCTTGGGAAGCGAATGCAGGACATCAGGCAGGGCCAGGAGAAAGAAAGCTTTTATTTCGTGACTGTCCTATTTGCTCACACATCAATCTGTGGCCAGGGGCCCGGACTTGCTCAAGGTCGGCATCAAAGTCGTTACGAGGCCCCCCTGCGAGATCTGACCCCACCCTCCTCACTGCTCTGACGGAGTCTACATCTCCCGGCCTTTGCCCAAGCTGCCCCAGCCACCCGGGTGATTCTCAACACACCGAACACATTCCTGCCTCAGGGCCTTTGCACTGCTCTTCTCTCTTCCTGAAACACTTCCCCAAAGCTCTTCCCCCATGCCTTGTTCCCTCACCTCTTCCCCCAACACCCACCTGGCCGATCAGTGCTGGTTCTTTAAGGCTCGGCCCAAAGATTGCCTCCCACCCCCACTGTCACCTCTGATGTTCCTACACCTGCCTCCCCGACCTCCTCGGTGAGGCCTCCCGCCCACCCTGCCCCCGACCTTGCTTGCGGGGCTTAGAACGCACTAGCCTAATTGTCTCTTGGAGACTCCGTTTTCCCCACAGGGCTACAAGTTCTGCGCAGCCACACGGTGGCTCGTTTCTGGAGGCTGAGAACAGGCGCTCCAGAAAGTTTGCCGAGCGCCTGCATCAACATTCCCAAATCCTCCCACCTCTCCCGAGAGCCCCACCGGTCACCCGGATGCACTACGGGGCCGCGCTTGAGAGAAGCTGGTGGCCCTGGGAGGGAAGGCAGCCAAGAGGCCTGGGGCCAGGCCCGAGGGGCGGGTCCCTGCACCCCCGGATCCGCTAAAAGGGCCGACACGTGGCTTTGTCCCCACCAGGCCACAAGAGGAACGCCCACGCCGGGCACGTCTCATCTTGGAGCCTCCGTGTATCAGCCCGAGAGGACGGCCGTGTGAGTTTCCTCGGACTGCTGTAACCAGTTAGTGCAAGTGAGGTGGCTTCTTTTTCTTTTTAAGTTTTATGTATTTATTTTGAGAGAGACAGAGGCAGCGTGAGTGGGGGAGGGGCGGAGAGCGAGAGGGAGAGAGAGGATCCTAGGCAGGCTCCGCACCATCAGCGCAGAGCCCGACGTGGGGCTTGAACTCGTGGACCGCGAGATCCTGCCCCAGACCCCCGGCACCCCCTCTCCTTCCACGCCTGACAGTCGAGTCCCCGGGCCCCCTGGGGCGCCTGGGTGGCTCAGTCAGGTAAGCGTCCGACTCTTGGTGTCGGCTCAGGCCACGATCTCATGGTTGTGGGTTCGAGCCCCTCATCTTGCTGTCAGCACAGAACCCGTTTGTGCGCTCTCTCGCGCTCTCTCTTAAAATAAATAAACGTCAAAAAATAAAATAAAATCCTATACTCAAATGCAAAAACAAACAGCGACAACAAAATCCCGGGGCTCCTGCCATGCGGCTGTCCACGGCAGGGCTGTTCCCTTCGTGTGCGTGCTTGTGCGTCTGTGTGGGGGGGTGGGGCTCCCTGCGTCTTCTTCGGTCTGAAAGGACCCGGATTTTTGGCACGCAGATAGAGTAACACGGTGTTTGCAAAGTGGCCTGGCTTTGAACCCCGTATCACTGGCTTACTGTCTGTGTGTTCTTGGGAACGTTAACTTTTCTGTGACTCAGTTTCCTCACCTGTAAAATGGACGTTACTAGGGCCTGCCTCCTTGGGCTATCGTGGGGATTAATTGGCTTTTAATATGTGTCAGGCCCTATCACGGTGCCTGCCATTCTGAGGACACGCAGTACGAGACAGGCTTGCTTCTCTCCGTCCCCTGGTTGCTGAGTGTCACTCGGGAGTATCTTGTGCACCACCCCCCCCCCCCACATCATTCAAATCCTCAGGGAACATTTATAACGAGGACAGCTTATGCACCTGGTGTTGAATTTCCAGGGCCACGACTGACGCATCGACAGAATGATCTGGAACCCAGCCCATCACACAGGGATGAGAGCACACCCTTCTCTGCGTCTATACCGCTGGAAAACCACGTGAAGCGTGTGCTCAGGGGGTCAGAACCATCAACGAGACCCCTGGCCCCTTGGAAGCACAGGCCCCTGGTCACCGGTGAGACGAAATGCTCCCCCCACCCCCAGCCTCCTGCGCCGAAGTTCCACAGGCTCGTCTTTCTTAAAATAAAACCTATGTTGTTCTCAAGCAAGCTGGGACGAGGGGGCTGTCGCCGCAGAATCGGGGCAGGGGGCTTGCTGCTCTGGGCCACCCCGATTCAGCAAGTTCAGCTCCTGTGAGCAGAACGCGAGTCCCCGGCCCGGCCTGTGGACCAGAGACCCTCTGGGAGGCCGGAGCCGCACCCAGGCCTGCTTCCACTTTCCGCCCCACCTGACCCCACGCCTGTGCCCGCATGAGGTGGGGCTGGGGGCTTGGCCCTGGCACCGGCCGTCACCCCCTCCCTCTGGCTCCCTGCACAAAGGCCCCTTTGCTTCTTCTCCACGGCCTGGCTTTCCGCGGTGGAGAACGAAATCCAAGGTGGAGGTTCTTTCTTTCCCCTCCTTGGCGGCCGGGCGCAGAAATGTTTACCCTTGGGGTGGAGGGAGGGGTTCGGCTTCCCTTCAGTGCCTGCAGACATTCCCCGGAGGAAATGAAGGTGGGGAGGACCAGAACCTTCCACCGTAGGGCCACAGGGCCAATGCTAAGTGGAAAGAGCGCTCCGGGCGCAGCATGGCTCCTGATTTGCGTCACGAGGGTCCAGGGGACTGTGTAGACTGACTCGGGGACCAGAGAGGGGCAGGGGCTAGGACAGGCTACGGCAGCCAGAGAGCCAGCTTCACAGTCCAGCATCTCCATGCCTCAGGGCTGGCTCTGAGCCTCTGTTTCCTCATCTACAAAATGGGCACGGTGACAGCTGGGGTGGCCTGGAGTTAAACGTGTTGATGGCGGGGCACCTGGCGGTCTCTGGGGTCTGTCTCTTGCTTCAACCGGGTTTGGAAGGAACAGACCCAGGGACCGCCCCCCCCCCCCCCCAGCAGCCTCCGACCCCCTTCCAACCTTCCGAGCCATCTTCTCGGCCACCCCGGGACCCTGGGCCGTTGTGGGGATGAAGGGACTTTTAATACCAACCACACCCTATTCCGAGCCGAGCCCTTTACCGTCCATCAACCGTGAGCTCCCAGGCTGGTCAGAATTAGTCCCCCGAGGGGGAGGCCGCCGCCCGCCAAGTCCACGTGCACCTGCTCCCCACCTCGGGCCTCAGTTTCCAGAGGGAGGACGCGGCTCTGCAGGGCCGGCCCACTTCTTCCGCGAGCGGCCTGGGTAGAAACACGAGGCCACCGAGCGTCTCCTGAAGGCGCAACACCCGAGCGGAGGCAGCAGCGGCCTCCTCCAGGACGCGCAGAAGCAACGCGGGATGCATGGGGTCAAACCCTGGGCCCCACGGATAGCGCCCTGGTTCTGGGCAAGAACCTGAACCGGCCCCTCTGGGTCTGTACGTCCCGGCCGTGCCCCCGGAGACCCCCTTCCCGGGTGGGCGGGTGACACTCGTCGGGAAGACGGTGACCCCCGACTCGCTCGGCAGCCTGGCCCCCAGGCTGGGCTGGACGAGGAAGTCTCCTTCGCGAGGCTCACCCTCTAGCAGGACGAGGAGCGTCCGGAGATGGGCAGGCTTTGCGGGGTCCCTCTGGCATCCCCGCTGTCCGGAGCTCATGCCCCAGGGTCTCCCTGCGGCCACTAGGGAGCTGTGTCACCAGCTGGGGCCCTCGCCACACCGTGGGCCAAATGGAAGCGATAAAGCTTTAGGCAGAGATAAATAAATAAATAAATAAATAAATAAGTCAACGTGTTGATGGCAGGAAGTGCTCAGCAGGGGTTCAATGGAGCGTCACCATCGATGTCCTTGTCACCTTCGTGTGACAAACGGTCTTCTTTCACGTGTTTCTGCAGTTTTTACATGTTCTCCACTGAATCCTTATCAGGCTTATATTGGGGATAAAAGGGACATCAGAACGAGGGAGGGACGAGGGAGAGAGGATGAAGGGAGGCGGGAAGGCAGGTGGCTGTCGGTCACAACTGCGGGCCCGTCCACCGCCACGGACCTTCCCAGCCCCTGGCGCCCCGTCCCCAGGCCCGGGCAATGGCCCTTTCCAAAGAGCCGGCGCGAGGGCAACCCCAGCAAAGGCATTTATGTCCCTTCTGGAAACGAGCGTCACCACCTGAAGTTCACATGTCCTCAGAATGTTCCAGAAGGCTCTTGAAGTTGGGTGGGGTGGCTCGGCCACACCTCGGTTTCTGGTGGAGAAAGAGGCTGAAATCTGGAGACGGAGCAGCAAGGTGGTGAAGCTGGTTGGGGTGGGGGTGGGGGTGCGGTTTCCTCACAGACTTTCAAACACAAGGGCCCCGTGGAAGGAGGCCGCCCCTCAGTCGATCACGTTCTAGGCTCACCAGCAAACTCTGGGGACGGAGCCCCTCCAGCCTGGGCCGGCCCTGCAGGGGCAGGAGGGGCAGGGTCTCCTTTGGGGCCCGGCGAGCATGGCCGCCGTCTGGGCTCTGAGGAGGGGTCCCGCCTCTCCGCCGACACCCCATCTGTAGGTGGGGGGGACCGAGGGTCACTGGGACAACCCTTCCCTTCGCTCCTGCAGGCAGCCCGGAAGGGACTCAGCACGGCTTCCATACACCGTTCCTATTTTTCCTGATTTCTAACAGAGAAGCATTGTCAGGACGTCGCTGGCACCACCCAGAATTCCTCAGCTTGCGGGAGTCCTCGGTGCTCAGGAGGTGACCCGGTGGACGCCCCCGTTCTTGTCGGAGCAGAACCACCCATCAGGGTTGTTACAGGGCCCTGCGGGATCCGGACGCAGCCCCACAGCATGTAGGGCTCTGGCTTGCTCAGGCTGGCTTGCTCTCTTTCTCTCTCTCTCAGGATTTCTGCCAAGGGCTACTCTTGACTGGGGAGAGTCACGGGAGCACCGATCAGTGGCTTTGAGAATCTGAGCCCCCCCATCTGCATCGATGACACACGCACCCCCCCACCCCCCCGAGAAAACACAGAGCGAAGGCATGGAGCCCACAGGCAGGTGCGGCCAGAGAGGACAGGCTCTGTGATGCCCTCACTTCCAGTCAGACTGCTGCCCCCCCACCCAGGGATTTCGGGGGGTGGGGAGGTGGCCACATGTATTGGGGGAGGCCCCGGAATCACGGAGGAGGCCTGTTAGAAGTTTCTAGAACGCTTGGCCTGGAGAACGCTGGTGGAGAGGGAGGAAGGTGCAACGTCTGGGCACCAAAAAGATACCCCTTATCCAGGCGCCGCACACCTGTGTCGTACCGTGGGCTCCTTCAGCAGATGGCAGAACCCCAAAAGATGCCCACATCAAGTCCCCGGAACCCGTGAATGCGACCATATTCGTCAAAAGGGTCTACGCAGACGTGATTAAGCTCTTGAGACAAGGAGATAACCCTGGACTCTCCCGGCGGACCCTGGATAACAGCAGGAGCATCCTGGTGGGAAAGGAGAAAAAAGAGGTGCCGAGGGGACAGTCCGGTGGAGACAGGCAGAGACAGGAAGGACCCCTGGGCCCCGGGAGCCGGAAAGACTACATTTCTGTTGTTCAAAGCCACCAACTTTGTGGTGATTTGTAGCCTCTCCATCCTGTGACGTCGGTGCCCGACCCGCTCTGCCTGCTCTGCCCGCCTCTTGTCTCCGGCCCGGCTCTCTCTTCCGCTTGGGTCCCCTTTGTATTTCCAACCTCTCCCTGTCCCTTTGCTGCAGGCGTGCCCATGCACGCAGCGTGCAGCTGGCTTTGGTTTTCTGAGTCAGCGTTAGGGTCTGCTTTGTGCCGTCTGATTTATTCTCGCAGCCAAGACGCTCCGTGTGCTTTCTCTTGCCCATGCTTTCTGTCGTTGCGTTGTCTGTGCATCGTTCAGCACCCGTTACGGACGGACACTACTGTCCCCTCCCCTCTTTCCTCCCTCGTGACGTGAAAGACGCAAAGTGATTTTACTTCCAAGAACGCCAGCCTTGCTATAAAGGACAGTCGAGTCTCTGTAACGCTCGAGGTCAGGAACGGAGTGGTATTTATGTAAAATGAGACAAACAGTGTTAAATAATTTTCCACTTTCTGCTGCCCGTTCCCAGTTTTTGTGTGGATGTAAACTGCGATTCTGGAGTTTGACTTCTATTTTTAAACATCATGAGGTTTTCTTCCACTAATAGCTTTTGACGTGTCTGAGTTTGTTGGCCACCATGCTTTCAAGAGTTACTAAGATACGGTCATTTGTTTCCTGCGATGTCCTCTTATCTGTTTTCATCTGTTTATTTTTTCCTTCCCGGACCTGGGCCAACCCCTGCTTTGTTCTCTAGCTCTGTGCCGTCTCCCCTTTGGTTTCTCCAACACACTGTTTTAAGCAGCCCCTGTGGTCTTTCTTCTCACACGGTTTCCTCCTCCTTTCATCCAGGTCCCTTCTTACTTTGTCCTGCTCCTCGTGGCACAGACGGTGGACTTGCGAGTCACGCTCGAGTTTGGGTTTCATCCCACGGGCCGGTGGCTCCGAACACCCGTCTGCTCCTCGGCCACCAGGACCGGACAAACCCTTTCTTTGGTCTCGGATGAAACGAGACAACCAAGAAAGTCGGGAGTTTCTTCTCAGGTTGGTTTTATTCAGTCGGGACTGTTGTAACAAGTCACTTGTCGCCTCTGCATTTTATTAAGCGGTGGCGATAGCGGGTACCGGTGAGCTTCTCTTTTTGTCACATTTTTATTTGGGAAAGTAAGACGTCCGTAAAAGTCGGTGTCTCATTCGTGGCCCCCAAAACCCAAACACGAGCTATGCCCGAGTCTGGAACTCTTACATTTGCACTAAGGGGATGAATCGGAACCCGAGACCTGAGCCCAGGAAGACAGGGTACTGCCAAGGTAGCCCAGGTGAGAACCGATGCAGGCCTGGACGCCGGGGTGATGGGGGGAACAGGGAAGAAGGGACAAGCTTGGAAGGTGTCGACTCCACCTTCTTAACAAGACCCGCTGACCTACTCGCCGCGGACTTTCCAGTCCACTTT